ACAAAAGCTTAAAGTCAGGTCAGAAGAGGTCAGTCGAGGTCAAGTTATCTGAGTAAATGTTATCTAAATTCACAAGAATTTTCTCAGTTAATTTTACTCTTTTATTTATTTTTTTTTTTTTTATCCTCATTTGATTATTCATTTATTTTTTGTTTGTTTGTTTCCGAGTGAATATATTAATTGTCATCATGGTATTCACTTTGTTTGTTTGTTTGCTTCCGAGTGAATTAATCAACTACCGTCTTGGGCTTATGAGGACCTTCACCACGAGTCGGTCTTTTTGATAAATAAAAGGAGACGAAAAGGTCGTGAGCACATCAATCTAGTGAAATCAAATATCTTTTTGTCTACGATATAAGCAGCCTCCTTTCCATGATAAAACTCATTTGAAAGGATGGAAGTGATGCACGAGGAAGCCCTGCGGCGGCCCGGTCCTGCCTCGCTTGCGCTCGCGGGCGTCGAAAGTCTCCCTGGGATGGGCGGGCGGCGTCGGTGCGCGGGCCGGACCCCTTGCCTGCGAAATGGCTACGGAAACGCCTTTATACGGAAACGCTAAAACAATAATGATATTGATAATGAATAAATAAATTGCAGAAAAGGTGAAAGATGCACCGAATGACGAGGAGGTAAGCTTGCCCGTCCGTAAAGTGCCAGTAATTGAGGAACAATTCGCTTTTCAGCCTTTGATTCGAGGATTGATTGAGTTGGTGTTCCTCGTCTCGAATCAAACAAACATTCATCACGATTTGTCCTTATCATCATTAGAACTTTTTCATACATGAGAAAAGGATACAATAAAAATACAAAGCCATTAACTCCCATTGTCGTTTTCTATTTGTTTTTTTCTAAATATAATTTGCAAAGTTGTTAAACAAACAAATGTCTTTCCCGTACAATGCGTATTATTACAGACCTTATCTATCTTTATGTACATATTCTTATCTTTGAGATATAACATATCTGGAATATGTGAATATCACTGACGTGTTTAGGAAATGAAGGATACATGGTATAAATTGCTATATGAATTTAGATACCCATACACGTTTTTTTTCTTTCTTGTTGTGAACGATAAAATGCTGATTTTCTAGAATTAATACGTTTTTATTTTTTATGTTCACTAATGTTCTAAAAAATGTAACAAAAATAAAGTCATATTATCCATGTGATAATTCATAACCCATGAAAATTGTATATAAATCTGTCTCTCCCTCTCTCTCTCTCTCCCTCTACCAATCCTTCCCCCTCCTTCTCTCTCACTCCTCCTTCGCTCTTCCTTCTTCCCTCCCTCCCTCCTCCTTCCCTCCCCCCGCCCCTAGCACTCCAGGTCGAGCTCGCACAGGTAGGCCTTCTTCATGCGGCACGAGTGGTCGTCCATGGTGGAGTCGGGTCTGTTCTTGGTGACGAGCGAGAGGCAGTCCTGCTCCTCGCCGCCCGTGCTCCTGTTGCTGGGCTGCCCCGGGCGCCAGTCGCTGGCGTCCAGGGGCTCGCCGGAGAGCCACGTCCACGCGCCCTCCCGCGCCTCGTCGCTGGCGCCGACCCACACGCGGTTGTACCTGCCGGCTGTTGGGAGGCGGCGCCATTACCAGCAACGGCAGGAATGGGGGCAGTGGGAGTGATAGTCACAGCAACAAGATTATGACAATAATGATGATAATGATAATTGCAACAATTAAAATAATGATAACAATAATAATGATAATGATGACGAAGATAATAATGCTAATAATAGTAATAATAATGATACTAATAACAACAAAACAATAATAATAATGATAACAGCAATAACAATAAAGACAATAATAATGACAGTAATAGTGATAATAGCAATAACAATACGAATAACAGTAACACACAGACCAATTAGAACCTTCCCCCTCCCCTCCTTTTCCCCTCCTCCAACCTTCCCCTCCCTCCCTCCTTTCCCCTCCCCTCCCCTCCTTTCCCCTCCCCCCTTCCCCTCCCCTCCTTTCTCCCCTCCCCTCCCCTTTCTCTCCCCCCCCTGCTTTCCCCTCCCTCCCCTCATTCCCCGTCCTTTCCCTCCGCTCCCTTCCCCTCCCTCCCCTCCTTCCCCTCCTTCCTCTCCTCCCCTCCCCTCCCTCCCTCCCTCCCCTCCCCCTCCCCCCCCCTTCCTTTCCCCTCCCTCCGCCCTTCCCCTCCCTCCCCTCCCCTCCCCTCCCCTCCCCTCCCCTTCCTTTCCCCTCCCGCTCCCTTCCCCTCCCTCCCCTCCTTTCCCCTCCCCTCCCCTCCCCTCCCCTCCCCCTCCCTCCCCCTCCCTCCCCTCCCTCCCCCTCCCCCTCCCTTCCCCTCCCTCCCCTCCCCCCCTCCCTCCTTCCCCTCCCTCCCTCCCTCCCTTCCCCTCCCCTCCCCTCCCCTCCCCTCCCTCCTCTCCCCTCCCTCCCCTCCCCTCCCCTCCCCCCCCAACGCAACCACGGCGCCACCCACGGAAGTCCCGCAGCACCTCGACCAGCGCCCGCACGTCGTCGGGGCGCGCCAGGTG